CATCTGCAGACATGTAGCGACCGAGCTTCCAAAAGCGACTGCTGCTAGGACCGCGCGGCAGGGCCACGCAAATGACTGGGCATGACATGCATTCTGCTGCCGTGATGCACGGTAGGCGGACCAATAGCACTTTCCTCTCTGCTGTTGCGTGTGTTCTCTCCCCTGGGCGGCAAGTAGCTGCGCGACGGATCTTAATTACATGCACAGAAACAGGCTGTCTCTAGGTCTAGGACCGCTTGGGCGCCTTGGCCGTGGCACGCTTGGCAAGAGCTTTCTGCTCCTTAAAGCGCTTCAGCAGCCCCTTGAGGATGCTGTTCTTGGTGCACCAGTCTGCGGCGTCGAAGGGGAGCACGCCAACGTCCTTCTTGCCAGCAGCAACCTTAGCGAGGAGGGAGCTCGTGGCAGCGTACCAGGCACGGACGGTTTCCAACTCGGTGCGCATGCGAACGAGCGTACTCGTCCGCTCTGTGCCGTCTTCGTCCTGCTCAGCCAGGAAAGCCTCGGGGGTCTTCTTCTCGAGCTTTGCGCCGTCGTCAAGGCCGGCAGTGAGTGCCTTCAGGTAGCTGAGAAGCGGCGGACCGGTCTTGCTGGCCAGCTGGGTGCGTTTTGCCACGTCCCGCTTCGCAACCTTCTCGGCCGCTTTGGCGTTTCGCGCAGCCTCGCGCTTCTGGCGAGCCTCTTCCTGCTTAGCAGTCCGCCCCTTGGGGCGCTTGGCCGCCGGCTCCTCGCTTTCCTGCTCCTCGTCGCTGAGCACGCAGACTTCTTGGTCGTCCTCCAGCTCGTCCTTGTCCTGGCCGTTCTCTTCTTGCTTGGTCTCAAGGTGCTGCTCTGCAGGCGTGGCAAGCTTCGCCTTCTGCCGCACAGTGAACTCCGCTTTCGTCAGCGTCTCCTCGACCTTCTCGGTGGCGTGCGAGAGGTGCACGGAGTTCAGAGGGAGACGGTAGCAAAGTCCGAGGGCCTTGTGCTTGCAGGATCTTGCAGGAAATGAAGCCCAATTAAGAATCCACCCCCCAAACCCCAAACGTTCCTAAGTCTTAGCGCCCAACGTCGCGGAGGTTTACATTAGATCGGCCACGGTGCTGGGTTCAGCTCTGTGTCGTCCCAGCGCTTGACCTTCTCCGCGTCGTAGCCTTCCTTCGTCCAGACGTCCAAAGGCTTGTACGTAGACCCAACCTCACGCTTGAGTTTCGTGACCTGTCGGGTCAGAAGCTTGCGGTGGAGTGCTGCACGGACCTTCTTGTAGCTCAAGCGCTGCCCGGCGGTGGTCTTGCCAGCGTTTCTCCAAAACTCGAGCTGCTCCTGTTCTGGAAGCTCCTCGAAGTCGGGGAGCGGCCAGCCGCAGTTCCGGGAGAGCAGAACGCTCAGCCGGTTGCAGCTGTTGCACCAACGCCTGCCGTTGACGCCTTTCACCACGCTGGAGGCCGTGTCTGTCGGCAGCAAGCACCGCGCGCAGGACAAGACTTCTTCGTCCTTCTCTTCCTCCTCCTCTGCCAACTGTTCGTCGTGCTTCTCCTCGGCCAAGTCTGGCTGCCCTGCAAGCGCAGCCAGCTGCAAGTTGTTGGTAGCCATGGAGTGGCCGTGCACAGGCTGCAGGGAGACACGGGCTGGGCGTTGCTTCTCTAACTTGACAGCTCTTGCAACGGCCGGGTATATCGGCATATACACAAGAGTCGTCTGCAGGCATGTCCGTATCTAGAAGGAGCAGACCAAACAGCAACGTATCCAAACGTATCCTGTCGTATCTGGCCTTGTCCCGGTCCCCCCATGGTGAACGTATCGTGTTGTATCTGGGTGGTCCGGGTGCGGGGCAGGGAAGGCAGGAGGCAAACGTATCGCAACGTATCCTGTTGTATCGTGTGCTGGTTCTCGCAC